TTTTCAGCCGGCGATCGGCTTTCATGTAAAAGCAATCCTAATAGCTAATTAGCTGCAGGATTGCTTTTACAAGAAGCGGGAGATGTCTATAGTCTAAGATTTCGGAAGCTAAGAGCATTTCATCACTTCAGTTTCGCAGGATATAAACAGTGCCATTTGTAAATTGGGAAAGCATCTGATCACACCGATTTTGGTTTGATTAGATAATGTAAGGGCAGAGGAAATATCCAGAGTCTGATAGACCCCAGATTTCTCAAAAAAGAATATATGACAATGCCCATTGAAGTTATAGGGGATATTTGCATTCCCTGTTATAGCATTAAAAGTGATCAAAAAAATGAAAAGGTACAATGTAAAAATGATAAAAAAAAAAAATCAAATCAAAATAACAAAAAAAAAACAAAAAAAAAAACAAAATCGCCCCTCCCATGCGCACACACCTGTGTGCACAAGCCTTGACCCTGTGCCAGTATGTACACAGCAGTTGCACCATGCATGTGAGGTATTGCCGTGAATGTCAGATCAAGGGCAGTAATTCTAACACTAGACCTCTTCTGTAAATCTAAAGTGGTACCTTTTAAAGCGTTGCCTATGGATATTAAAAATGTTTGCAGGTTGTCGCCATTGCATGGGGCATGCACAGTTTTAAAGCATGTCATGTTTGGTATCTATTTACTCAGCATACCATTATCTTTTATATTTCACCAAATAATTGGCCAATATATTGTGTTTTTGTACATTAAAATTTATTTTTTTTTTAAATTTGCATTTGAAAAATCGCTGCGCAAGTACTATGTGCCATAAAAAATTGTAGTACCCACCATTTTATTCGCTAGGGTATCTGCTTTAAAAAATATATAATGTTTAGGGGTTTAAATTAATTTCCTAGCAAAAAATACAGATTTTTCTCATGTGAACAAAAAGTGTCAGAAAAGGCTTGGTCTTCAGGTGATTCGAAAAGTGAATGATGTGTGGCATAAACTTCTAATGCTGGGCATAGAATTCCCCCACCCCCCAAAACGACCCCTTTTTAGAAAGTAGACACCCCAAACTATTTGCTGAGAGGCATGTTGAATCAATAGAAGAATTTATTTTTTTACCACAAGTTTTTGGAAAAAGACAAAAAAAAATTTTTTTTTTTTTTTTTTTGTACACAAAACGGTCACTTAAATGATTTACTGCTCACACATGCCATGGGTATATGTGGAATTACTCCCCAAAATACATTCTGCTACTTCTCCAGAGTATGGGGGTACCACATGTGAGAGACATTTTGGCAGTTTAGCCAAGTACAGGACCCCTAAATCCAATAAGCACCTTCAGGCTTTTAAAGGGCTTTATTTCCTCATTACACTTCCAGACTACCTATCACAGTTTCGGAGGCCCTGAAATGCCAGGATAGCACCTAACGTCCCCAAATGACCCCTTTTTGGAAAGTAGACACCCCAAGGAATTTGATGAAAAGCACAGTAAGTATTTTGCAGATCTCATTTGTTGCCACAAGTTTTTGAAAATGAAGAAAAAAAAAAAAATTTTTTCTATTTTTTTTTATATTTCAAGACCTAGTGAGAAAAAATGAGATCTGCAAAATACTCACCATGCCTCTTTTTAAATTCCATGCGGTGTCTACGTTCCAGAAAGGGGTCATTTGGGGGGGTTTGGTGCTATCCTGGCATGTCAGGGCCTTCGAAACTGTGATAGGTAGTGAGGAAGTGTAATGAGGAAGTTACGCACCTTCAGGCTTTCAAAGTGGTCATTGGATTTCAGGCTCCTCTATGTGGCTAGGCTCCCAAAAAGTCTCACATGTGGTATCCCCATACTCGGTAGAAGTAGCAGAATGTATTTTGGGGTGTAATTCCACATATACCCATGGCTTCTGCGAGAAATAAATAATTGCCCAAGACGCTGCCAGCTCTGCCTGAGACTTTCACATCAGCTCTGCCCGAGCCAGCTCTGCCTGAGACTTTCACATCAGCTCTGCCCGAGATCCTGCCAGCTCTGAGACTTTCACATCAGCTCTGCCCGAGATCCTGCCAGCTCTGCCTGAGACTTTCACATCAGCTCTGCCCGAGACGCTGCCAGCTCTGCCTGAGACTTTCACATCAGCTCTGCCTGAGACTACCCCATCAGCTCTGCATGAGTGTATGCTTCCCCTATGTTATCTGAACTGTTTATGAACTGCCTCCTACCTCCCTGTTGGATTACAAACTGCTGTAGAGACTTCAACTTTGCCCCCCGGGGCTGGATTACAAAGTATTTTGGGCTCTCTCTCTGTACTACTCCCCTACTAATGTGGCCGCCCCGCCCTGCAATTTCCCCATTGAGTGACTGTTGTCTGTTTCAATAAAGCTTTAAGTGTTTGCCATCTGCCCTGTGTGTTCTGTCCTGCCTACCCTCCATCACAGCCTATAAATGTGAGAGCACTTACACCTAAATAGAAATTACTAAAAGCACCAGGAGTTACCATTGTTGACTTTTTCCCTAAAAATGCTAGCTGTCTGGCCATCTCAAACCAATCTGATTTACTGACCCAGAACAAGCAAGTCGGTGAAAGTCTTAATCTTTGATCTGCATACATATACCAGGCAAATTATTCAAAGTACTGAAGCCATTGGATCACCACAGGCAAACTGTCATTTTTCAAAAGTAGGTTTCAGTGATGGCAGCCTGATATATTTTCTTAATATAGGTTTCCTATTAGTCTCCCTACAGCCACTTCAACTAGCATTTACATCACAAACTAGTTTCCCAGAAAATTTCACGAATGAATATACGAAATGTAGTTTTAGTCATCCTGGCAGACATGCCTGCTGACTCACTGTGACTTGCATCATACACTGCTACCTTTGCATTAGCTTGCTTAGCTGCTTGTTAATTCAATTTGTTTGGCTAAACATCAAGAGACAGACTTTGACTTTTCCTTCTCAATCTACAATAGAAAAATGCTTGAATAATGGGTTATATTATAATATTAACTCCAAGGTATCCTATAGTAAGAGCTGTTCACACTGCTGTGTCAGTAAAATGTGATTTTTTTTTTTACCACACAAACCTCAGTGTGTTAGTGTGAGTTGCCATTTAATTAGGATGCCACCCCAACACACTACTACTACTGTAACAGGGAACATACCTGCAATGCAGCCCTTAATGTGATTGTGAACCTTACATATAACAACTGAAGTGCATGGCCTCAGGTGATACACAGAGATTAAACAAATCCTCCTGCAAACGTTGTATATGATTATCTACAGCCGTCTATCCTCTACATCCAAAGTAAAGAATTTAGACAGCACTTAAGAAGCGTAACCACTTCACGCCTAAGTGTAAAACAAATCTTTAAGCCCAAGTAAAATTTTTACAACTTTGACATGTGTTAATAAAACCGTACATATCATAACTACTTTGTACATCCAGGTGAATTATACCTTGTTTTTTTTTTCAGGACAACTTGGGTTTTCATTTGGTGGTAACTGGTAATGGATAAGTCCTGATATTTTTTTTTATATCAAAGGAAAACTGGCCCAAAATAGTAAAAAAAAAAGTTTTTTTTTTTTTTTTTAAATTTAGCTGTGCGTTTCTTGTTACTACTATAACCTACCACCAAAGAAAAAAGCAACATACATTTTCTCTTGACAATCGCAGTGATACCATATATGTGTATGTTATTTGTTGTTTGTGCCTGTACTACAGCCCAGGAACAATAGTGTGCCTTTTGTTTTTTGTTTTTTTACTTAAAAGACACTGACATCAATTAATTAAAAAAACAAAACAAAAAAAACAAACAAACACAAATCCTGACCTTTGACCCAAACACTAACCCTGGCACTGAACTAAGTCAAACCTTGATCTAAGTATTTTTTCTTTATTTTTAATATTTATCTTTTTTTTTTACAAAGTTTTTTTTCTCTCTGCAAGGGGGGGAGGGGGGAAGAGAGCATCTCTCTCCTCCATTCAGAGATAAATAAAAACAAGGGAGGCAGGCTTCACAGTGAATGATCACTGTGATAGCCAATCAGAGGCTATCACAGAGATCATGTGACCCAGAATAGGGAGTCCCGGGTCCCGATTGTTAAAACGGGACCCAGGGCTTAGTGACACCCCAGTCTTTGTGCTGGGAGAGCCTTGTGTGTCGCGCTCCCAGCACAAAGACAGGTATGCAAATATGGGCCCCCATGGAAAAAAGCCCAGTTTTGGGACTCCGCATATTTGCGTGATGTCGGGGTCCAGGGATTAAGCAGGCAGGGATCAGATGTCATACACTGCACAAACAGAGAAAGTGAAGTGTAATTTGAGACTTGAGTGCAGGGAATGCACATACTCTTCTACACAGTCTCATAGAGAAACATGCACTAAGGCTGTCAGTCACCCGGTGTGTGCTAGAGGGGGAACCTTGGGATTATTGATGTCAACATAGACTGACGGAAGTGACTCATGCGGATAGCAGAGGAATGACATAGCAGACATAAATCAAACTATGTGCTTTGGACTGAGGCAAGTACACACTATATAATATAAATATATAGCACTTTGAACACTGTCCACAAAATCCCAGGAAACATTCCATGCTGAATTTTCATTATGCTCTCGCCAGATGATGAAGCTAATCAAGCCCTTCAATCCATACATACACTAAATTGCCAAAAGTATTGGGATGCCTGCCTTTACACGCACATGAACATTAATGGCATCCCCATCTTATCCATACAGTTCAACAGTGAGTTGGCCCACCTTTTGCAACTAGAACAGCTTCAGCTCTTCTGGGAAAGCTGTCCACAAGTTTAAGGAGTGTGTTGAGAATGTTTGACCATTCTTCCAAATGCGCATTGTGAGTTCAGGCACTGATGTTGGATGAGGCTCGCAATCTCTGCTCATCCCAAAGGTGTTCTGTTGGGTTGAGGTCAGGACTCTGCAAGCCAGTCAAGCTCCTCCACCTCAAACTCGCTCATACATGTCTTTATGGACCTTGCTTTGTGCATTGGTGTGCAGTCATGTTGGAACAGGAAGGGGCCATCCCCAAAACTGTTCCCACAAAGTTGGGAGCATGAAATTCTCCAAAATGTCTTGGTATGCTGACATCTTAAGAGTTCCCTTCACTGGAACGAAGGGGCCCAGCCTAACCCCCAAAAAACAACCCCACAGCATAATCCCTCCTCCACCTAACTTTACACTTGGCAAGATGCCAAACCCAGACACGTACATTGGATTGCCAGGAAGAGAAGTGTGATTTATCATGCCAGAGAACACGGCTCCACTGCTCTAGAGTTCAGTGGTGGCATGCTCTACATCACTGCATACGTTGCTTTGCATTGTACTTGGTGATGTAAGGCTAGGATGCAGCTTCTCAGTCATGGAAACCCATTCCATGAAGCTCTGTATGCACTGTTGTGCTAATCTGAAGGCCACACAAAGCTTGGGAGGTCTTTAGCTATTTACTCTGCAGTTGGCAAGTTCTGCGCACTGTGCTCTTCTGCATGCGCTGACCTTGCTCTGTCCTTTTACGTGGCCGAGATGCTGTTGTTCCCAGTTGCTTCCACTTTGTTATACAACTAACTGTTGACCATGAAATAATTAGTAGTAAGGAAATGTCATGGATGGACCTATTGCATAGGTGGCAACCTATCACAGTACCACACTTAAATTCACGGAGCTCCTGAGAGCAACCCATTATTTCACACATGGTTGTAGAAGCAATCTGCATACCTAGGTGCTGGATTTTATACAGCTGAATCCAATGATTTGGATAGGTTTCCCAATACGTTTGGCAATATAGTGTATGTCAGTGTTTTTCAACCTTTTTTGTGCAAAGGCACACTTTTTTCATGAAAAAAAGCATGAGGCACACCACCATTAGAAAATGTTAAAAAAATTTACCTACAGTATAGTATAGTAATTCATCCCCCATAGTAATAATCCCCCATATAGTATACATCCCCCATATTAAGTCCCCAAGCCCCCCCTGTGTCAATTCACCTACGTTTGCTCCACGCGTTCCTCTCGCCGTTTCGGTGTAGCATGAAAATCTGTCTCCTATGAGGATCTGTCCCCCTCGACGTATCTGCGCATGTGCCAGTTTCAGGCATTAGCAGCCGATCGGCGATCTCCGGCACATGCGCAGATACGTCGAGGGGGACAGATCATCCTGACAGTATCACGCTCCGCGGGCCGGATTAAATGGTCCACCGGGCCGAAGTTTACCCATTGCTGTTTCTAATGATTGGTCTATTTGTGAGCCAAGGCCACATGTTACGGATGAAATTGCAATTTTTCCCACGGCACACCAGACAATATCTCACGGCACACTAGTGTGCCGCGGCACAGTGGTTGAAAAATGCTGGTGTATGTATCTTCTCTGGTGTCTACCACCTACCCTTACCCTCAAGCCAAACAATTCTTGCATTGATGCAGATTATCTTTTCGCTCTTCACCTGTTGTCACCTTTCCAAATAAGCTCCTGTTTTCTGGTAATGCTCCAGGTCACCTGTTGATTGAAAGTGTGAGACATTGCGAACATAAGATGGCGTTTATTTGAATAGAGCAGTCCCTGGAGTTCATAGATGCTGTGGCTTTTGTGAATGTGGTAAGGTACATGATCTGAAGGGTGAGGAGTGTTGCACACCAGGTGGATGGTATACACATTTTGTGGGGTAATTGAGTCACATATAAAATGTGACTATATTTATGTAGAGGCACTTATTTCATTGATATAACAATACATTATGGGTTTCTCATTAGGGAAGCCTAACATACCCTTAACATGTTCAGATTTTTTTTTTTCTTTTTTAGCGGAACGTTACCCATAACATTTAATGTTCTTTAATAAAAGTACATGCATTCTACATTAGGAAGTTATGCTACCAAAAACCAACAGTTACACTTACTGGTAACGGCATTTCTAGGAACCTTCCAGGACAGTACACTTGAGAGATGAGAGGCTCCTCCCTACAGGAAACATGATCAATTGACAGCTGTTTTAAGTCCCCACCCTTCCTCTTGTCCCTCAGTTTGTAATAAAGTAACAAGGGGCATCATTCTTTATAGGTATTTACCACCTACTGCTCTAATATTTCCCCCCCCCCCCCCCCCCTTTTTTTTCTGGGCAGGAAGTAGGTCTGCCATCCTGGAAGGTTCCTAGAGATGCCATTACCAGTAAGTGTAACTGTTAGTTTTCAGCTTACAGGACAGCACACCTGAAAGGATAATCATGGAACCACAGGCATACCTTAGGGTGGGACCACTGATATTTAACATCCGATGAAGCTACCATGGCTAGATTCAGAAAAACTGAATTTTGTATGTTAAAAGAGGTCAACTGTCTCAACCATCTAGCAATCATGGCCTTTCATACATGTAACCACTTCTTGAGACCCCTTAAAGGACTAAGCAGTAACTTGTTCAGTGAAACAAAGACACTACTTTGGGCAAACAGGATCCTGCTCCTAAGGATATGCAATGCTGTGCCTCCCCTCCATATGGATAAAATTTGGAGGAAAACCTCTAGCAACCTATGTTGGAGGCAACTTGCTAAATCCCTAGCAGCTGGCATAGTAGATTCAGACTACCTGGTGTAGCACTGTTGACCACAGAAAATCTGCTATAATACTCTTGGAATATCTTTAGGTGTGTCAGAAGTTTGTTCAGTGGCATAAACAGCCTGTAAAAGACTCTCCCAGGGGAGCTAGTGTCTAGTAGACCTAGGTTTGTCACTAGATTTGCCACTCTTAGTTTACCAAAGTAGGATCTAGAGCAGTGGTTCTCAACCTGGGGAGGGTCGAACAACCCTTTCACAGGGGTCCCCCAAGACCATCAGAAAACACATATTTCCGATGTGTTAAAAGCAGCTACTCCGTTAAAAGCAGCTACTCCGTTAAAAGCAGCAGTATTGGAGGTAAAACAACACTCAAATAATTACTGGGTAAATAATTTTATGGTTGGGGGTCACCACAACATGAGGAACTGTATTAAAGGGTCACGGCATTAGGAAGGTTGAGAATCACTGATCTAGAGTGAGAGGCTGGCCACTTTATATTGCAATAATCTCAGTATCTACTGAAGGAAGAGGAAGCCTCTGGGCTAGTTATCTCTACACCCATAGGGAAAAGGATAGTAGCACCCTGCATTAAGGAGAGGGGTCCTGTCTGAATACGCAGAAACCAGCTGGCTGTTATTTAGAATGCTGCTGTTAAGCTCTCAAGGCAAAAGGGAAGTACTTTGAAAAGGCAAAGATCTGTGGCTGTTGCAAAAGCAGTCTCAGAGTTCACATGAAATGCAGACAGCAGACAAATTCACCCCTATTAACATATCACAGTAGGGTTTAACATGAGACTGGCAACTTTCTGTTGCAATAACCACAGCAGCTACTAAAGTATGTGGTAGCTGTGGATGTGGTGCTTTAGCAGAAGCTTCTGGGCCACAGTAACAACCTGGATTAAGTAAAGGGTTTTGTACCTCAATGCCCAGAGACCTGCCTGTTATGGATTCTGCGGTTAAGCTCCCAGAGCAAAAGGGACATACTCATAGCCTGTTGTCTTCTGCCTTTTGCAACAGCCACAGGGCTTATTTTTCCATCCTCAGGGTCACAATAGGAGGATAGCTGTCCTTCCTGAAAGGCTGCCAAGTTTGGCTGTGACTCTCTCTCTCGGAACCCAAACTTTCCCAAAAGAAAGGAAGGAAAGGACATTGCCATGAAAGCCAGGATTGGCTAGCAGACAGCTTTTCTCCTGCTCTTTTCCTTTTACAGTCACCGCATCACAGAGAAAGAGGCATATACAGCCTTCTGTAGAGTCGAAACACACTCCCTTGTGTACGGATTGTTGTACATCCAGGGAGACCTGTGAGACACTTGGCCTGCAGGTTCGTTCAGCCCTCTCCAGGATTCCTAGACCTGCCTCACAGGGGTACCATCTGATTCTCTCCAATCTTCTGCTCAGTGAAAACAAACATTCTGCTGTATAGAAGAAACACAATTAATACTAAGTGACAAGGGGAAGGGTGGCAACTTCTAACAGCTGTCAATTGATTGTGTTTCCTGTAGGGAGGCACCTCATCTCTCAGGTGTGCCATTCTGAAAGGTGAGCAGAGAAATTACCATTTGCTGTAAATAGTTTCCAGCATGGCTCCTGTTCTTCCTTGAGGCCACCATTTTGTTAAAAGCCCAAAGCAGTCATTTACTTATTGGAAATGTTCCCATTCTCAATACTATATGTCACTTTCTGTAATTAAATTTGTGCATTTCCATCCTTAATACAACACTATATGCTGAGCCAAGACATATAATTATCGAACAAATGCCAGTTAAAACCGTGCAGTGCCAAATGGCAAAAAAATGCCCTGGTCACGAAGGGGGTAAAATCTTCTGGAACTTAAGTGGTTATACATAAAAAAAAAAAAACACCTCTCCCTGAACTAATATTACCCCCTGGCTAAACAGTGTATGAATAAAAAAAAAAAAAAAAAAAAAAAAAAAAAAAACACAAAAAAAAAACCCACCACACAAACAAAATTTGTTCTGTATTTTTATTTTCCTCAAGTCAGTAGGTACCAGCTATGCATTTAAACTCAAGGTTAAAAACAGGAAAACAGAAATGTTTTTAGATAGGTCAATGTCTTATTTTCACGGTTGATAAAATATGCTGGACTTTCCACTTGCAATCAGATATACCAATTTTTCTGTACATTTAGTTATCTTTTATAACTAGTGGATGCAGAATTACAATATTTACAGGGTAAAGGAAATCACACAAATCAGGCTCATGCATGTGAAAGTGAAATAACTGTCCAGATAAGGCCAATGATATTTTCTGTTGGACATGTTAAGATTTGTGAGATCAGTAGACTACTGCAAGATTTAGTAGTACAAGTCAGAGTTTATGTTTAATGGACTGGAATTTGAAAAGGCATTGAATTTAAGAAGAAATGATCTAAGAAGTCCTAAAGCAGGCAGTGCATGTGATTAGGGAATACTTGCTGTGGGAATAAAATGCTTTAACAGTGCATGGAATGCAGATCTCATCTCCCCCCAGGGCAATGCCAGTCCAGCACCAGGCAAAATGTGCTGACTTCAGCGCAGACGTCTTTCAGCTGACTGATTTATTTTAGGCATATGGCTAAGCAAGAGATAGGTCTGTGCAATTTTCTCGTGCATGCTCTTGTAAGCGATCAAGTATACAGTTAGTCAAGGCATTCATTACCAATTCAATGCTTACAAAATACATTCAATAAAAAATATCTAGAACGTAAAAAAAAATAATAAAAGATTAAAATGCTTGATTATTAAATAATTCTATTGATACCATACTGCAGGATTTGCTGGACAAAATTATATTACCCATTGTATACATAAAAATTTAAGTCGCTTTCACAGTAACAGGATACACGTTCAATACATTGTTAGTCATAAAAATATTTTACTATTTACATATACACTGTATAAATGTTAATAGTTATATATTCATTTAGGAAGTTACCACTGGATAAAAGCACATTGGCCCATACTTTTGTGCAGTGTTACCGTTTGGTCATCATACCAATAAAATGCAGTTCAAAAGACACTACACCTAGGTGGACTATATAAACACATCATACAGTCATCTTGCTTCCACTGGGCTTTGTTTTAGAAGTTGTAAAACCAACCAACTCTGGACAACTCGTTTGTCCATTTGCAATCTGGTTACATTTAACCATCAAGTCATAATTTATTTTGTCCGTTATCACACTGTCATGCTTATAGTCTGGATGGTTTGATACAAATTCTCTCAGCCATCGAGCAGATGTCATCAGTTCACCTAAAAAACAAAAACAAATTTAGAGGATATAAAAACCACAATGCTATGTAGAACAAGTATTTCAATTGAATAAAGACAACTGTAGTTCTATCTTCAAAAAGAAGCCATGTTGCCCACATAGGACGCACAGGTGTTCTGGAAGTCCCATTTAAGTAGATTGGGATGCAGTAGTTGCACATACAGCCGCTGCTCCCAATCTCACACTGTCTACGTTCTGCGGCACAAGCACTCACACAGATGTCAAACAAAAGCAGCAGCTAAGTCCATGGAAGTCCCAATAGATATGAAAGGGAATGCCTGCATGAGGATGCAGGTGAACATGGCCCTTCAAGCAGATGTATGCTTGAGTGCACCATGTGTACAATGCCTTAAGAGGTTTCTGTACAATCCATTGTTCCACTTAAAGTGGAACTTCACTTAAAATGTGGAGTTCTGCTCATCCTTCTGCAGTATTTGTAGCTGCTGACTTAATTTTTTCATAAAACTACCAAAGTTCCCCTTTAGCCACTTCTTGATTGTGCTATACCTAAATGACAGCTACAGCATGGCCGTCCAATTCTGGGAGGGAGTCACATGATGTCCTCCCTGAAAGCACCCCCCCGGCGCTGTCTGATCGCTGTGTCCTTTGGCGCTTGACCATGTCATGTGATCAGCTGTGTCCAATCACAGCAGCCTTTTACCACGTGATCAGCTGTGTCTAATCACAGCTAATCACCACGTAAATACACTTACCAGTTACGGTCACAGCGTTAGGAAAACACTGCTGATAACTGGCAAGGAGAGGGCTAGATTGATAATCAGGGCACCGATTATAAGTGTCCATCAGTGCCGCCTCATCAGTGAAGGAGAAAAAAAAAAAGTTTCTATTTTAAAATTTTGTAAACAAAAAACCCAGTGGTGATTAAGTACTACTAAAAGAAAGCTCTATTTGTGTGTGAGGGGGGAAAAAAAAAAAAAAAAAAATTCATATTGGTACAGTGTTGCATGACTGCACAATTCTCAAAATTGGCCTGAACAGGAAGGGGGTAAAAAAGTGCCCAGTTGGCAAGTGGTTAAAAGGTATGTAAACCCCAAATCTGTTCAGTATGTTTTATAATTTTCTTAAGCAAATTTTTTTTGCGACTGTCTAAGACGACTTTTTGACCCTTGAAAATCTTCTCAAAAGTCGGGGGTCGCCTTATACGTCGGTATACATCAGGGCGGCACTTTTTAGGGGAGCAGCGTGGTGCCGCCGCCGCCCACCCCTTCCGACGGAAGGGACACCAAGTACAGGGGTGGGCAGAGGGCTTCTGTTTCTTACCTGGCTCTCACGACGATCCAGTCCAGGAAGCGCTGCTCCTTCAGTCACTCCGGCCACTCCCTCACTCCTGCCTCTTGGCTCCGCCTCCTCACCGGTGATTGGCCGCCAGAACTGTAGCTCAGGAAAGGCACACAGGCGGCCAATCACAAGTGAGGAGGCGGAGCCGAGCAGACCCACAAAAATCGAGTGAGGGAGCAGCCGGTAAGTGTGCAGTGCAGAGGTGCTGCTGCAACCACATATGCTGTCTGCAGCAGCACCGTACTGGAACAGGGGTCAGCAAGTGTCATTGGTGTCAGTGGGAGGAATCGTGCCCCATCATTGGTGTCAGTGGGAGGAATCATGCCCCATCATTGCTGTCAGAGCGAGGAATCGTGCCCCATCATTGCTGTCAGAGCGAGGAATCGTGCCCCATCATTGCTGTCAGAGCGAGGAATCGTGCCCCATCATTGCTGTCAGAGCGAGGAATCGTGCCCCATCATTGCTGTCAGAGCGAGGAATCGTGCCCCATCATTGCTGTCAGAGCGAGGAATCGTGCCCCATCATTGCTGTCAGAGCGAGGAATCGTGCCCCATCATTGGAATACCATACTGAAATCAAATCTGATGTTTTTTATTTTTTATTTGGTGTGCGTTGGAAGAGTAGTCGTATACAGCGAGTATAGTCCAAACCCTATATTTTAACAGGAAAAGTAGGGGTCGTCTTAAACGCCAGAAAATACGGTACTTAAATGAAGATCTTGCCTGTAACACAGCTTCCTATTTCAGGCTAACAATGCCAAGTGACATCCTGAATATAGGCAAAGGGTCATTCTTCTGCCACTTGAGCGCCATCAGTAGCCTGTTGGGCTGCTTAACAAGTCTAGCAGATAAGACAGCAAAATAGCTAACTGAAGGCGCTCAAATAGCAGCCCGACAGAATTGTAGCAAAACTATCCCTAATCTTTTTCAAGCAAACAGTTCATTTTACCAGACAGACATTTTATTTAACTCCAACTCATTCAGGACATTAATAGATTGAAACATTTCATTATTTATAATAATCAGAATGAGTTATATCTCCATCAATTTAACCCTAAAGTCCTACCTGAAGCTCTTTTCTTAATCAGTTTAAGGTAGTTTAGTATGGTGCAGCGTGTGTCCACATCTACCTCCATGTTTTCTAGATAAGAATTAAGGATGGGAAGCAAACCTGGAAAAACTCCTTCCTTCAAAAAGGGAGAAGAAATATTAAGAAACGTGTAACACACACACACACACACACACACACACACACACACACACACACACAAAGCCTCTTACCTTTCCATTGATTATAGTATCAATGCTCATGAGGGTATACTCTTCCAGTTCACCTTCTGTGCCATTAAGTGTTGTATAACAGCCATCAACTGCAGCAATGCCAGCTACAAAATAAACAGATTAAAAACTCACACAAAGCATACATATAATTTCAGATTTCTGTGTACTTTTTCATTTATTTAATAACATGGTTTCCTTAAGGCTTAGTGCATAGCTATTTTGTAACCTTCCAACCACTATAAAGGGGAAGTCAGAAGTCATAAAAACTTCAGGCTGCACTTTTCAAAGACGTACCTGCTATCCCCAATATAAGGGACAGATAATCTGTGTTGTACTGTCTCTAAGCTTTGGTCCATCAGACCCACAAATCAGGTTTAAGAATATATTTACAGAAAAAAAACAAAAAAAAAAAAAAAAAAAAAAAACCCCTCCATGATATTTTATATTGCTCTTTTCTCAATTTTTTTCCCTAAAGGAAAACTAAATTTAAAAAAACTAAAATTAACAAAAAGACTTAAGCTTGTTCGAATTTATGTCACTTTTGGAATCTGTGGCCCTCAAAACTTTGTCAGATAGTCAAAAAATTCTTGCATGGTATACTGCACTTTCCAGTGAAAATGTGACCTTTCCTCCAGATGCAGTTTGAAAGGCTCCTGGGTAACCTTTCCCCCATATGGCAAAACATCTGACAGTTAATAGGCAGCTGCAAAAAAAAAAAAAAAAAAAAAAAATCCTAAAACCCTGGGAGTGATCGATCGAGCTTATAGACTCAAGTGAAATACTTGTTATGAACATCTATTGTTTCCCCTATTCCCCTTTTCGATTTTATCATCTTCCTATAAAACGGACGCTCCATTTTATTTTTTTCATGCCAATTGTCCACTGTAACAATACATGTGCTAGCTGCATCAGAATGATCCTCATAAAAAGTACTAACTAGAAGACCTCACACCAACATATTAATTATACAAGGTACCTTTGCAAATATCTTTTTTAAAGTAAAACATTCCCTGACGCACAGAATCACGTTTCTGGGCTGCTTTCATGTTTTCATCAACCTGCAAAAAATTTTTAAAAAATATCAATTTAAAAACCTACCAGGATAGAAATACAGGCAGATTTTGTTTTTTTGATGGTGCACAATATGGGGCCATTGTTAGCCTTCCTTCTCTGCTTTGTGAACCACTAACCTGGAACAACTGTCTGAACACCAAATATGCAAACAGTTGTACCATGTATTCTGTGAGGGGCAGGGGTGATGGCTCTAGGACAGGAACTAGTCACTCTAAAAATGTGTTTTCAGAGGGGATTTGGCTCTGGTCCAAGATAGCCACCTTATGAAAGAGCTCCAGCTCATCAGAGAAGATATCTTGACATTAGTGGAGGTAATCAGCCTGGCCGTCATGTGGATAAACCAGGTAGGAGTGTTTCAACTTCTTGTACTTGCTTCCCTGGCAACACAGCTTAGCCACAACATAACAGAGCTTTTCTGTTCCCAACCGTGGGACACACCCATCCACCTCAGAGACCTCAACCCGATCACTGTGCTCTCCTAGCAGGAGTCACCCATGCATGACTGGCATTTACCATAAGCAATTTCCAGCCCTTATCCTAACCAGAAGCACTGCCTGGGAAATTTGCAAGCCATAGCCTCTGACATCAAGGACACTATTTGTGGCTATAGCTGATCCTTGCTTTGATATCCATGCCATGGCCATGAGGCTGGGAGAAGTGAAGACAACAACTAGCCACCATGTGGCAGCCATCTACAGGTTCAGCAGGTAGCTGAAACCAACTCTCTCCATCTGCGGGAGTTGCACAGGCACTTAAGGGGTCTAGATGACAACAGGGGATGAAGGCACAACCTGAGTTTGAGGCCTCCCCAAATCTACTGAACCGTACAATCTGTCTTAATCAGTACTAGCCGTTTTTAATTATCTGCTAGACAGGCCCGCCCCACCGCAAGTTGCCCATAGAAATGGAATGTCTCCACAGAGCACTGTGCCCCAAGCATAGAGACTCGGATCCCCCATGGGACATTATATGCTGCCTTGTGAGCACCACTTTTAGAGTAGATATCCTATGTAAAGCTAGAGAAGAAAAAAAAAAAAAAAAAAACACAACACTCCACTGTTTTAAAAGCACCACCCCTGCCCTCTGTGCAATGGTGAACGCACGTCGGTCCCACGTGCATATGTAAATGCAAATCGCACCACACAGGCGGTATCGACGTGATAACCAGAGCAATAATTAGAACACCAGATCTTCCATGTAACTCTAAAGGCTTTTAAAGCATTACCTATGGAGAGGTTTCTGTACCTTCGTTTGGTGCTGATCTATTGGCATACGCAATTTTAAAGCGTGACATTTGGGATATATATATATATATATATATATATATATATATATATATATATATATATATATATATATATATATATATATATATATATAAATTTATGGGTTTTAAGTAGTTTTCTACCAAAGAAAAAAAAAATTTTTAGGCGAGGAATGGCAGAATTGGCCCAGACTGGAAATGGTTAATGCAATGACAGTCGTTTCCTTTCTAGATCAATTGCAACACTTGCTCAGAAGTCTAGAGCGAATCAACCTCTGGTCACATCTCACACTCTTCAAATCCCTGTTTTAAAAACATATCAACATTTGGTCTCCACGATATACACGCACACTCTTATTTAATGACCAACCTCCAAAGGCTGGAAAGGTGAGCCCACCCTGGGAGATAAAGCTGACTCTCAATCCATTTGAAGAGGGCTGGGAAAGCATTCACTTTTCTATTCATAAAAAAAGGTACAGTGACCGACAGTACAAGAAAATGGCTACAAAAGACATCGCACTGGAATAGAACCCTAATGCAGATCCACAAATTCTTGCCCTCCATGTCCAACTTATGCTGGAGACGTGGTTTGGAACCGAGTAAACTAATGCATATTTAGTGGTCCAGTCCAACACTCCAAACTTTTTGGACTGAAGCCCACTGTCCAATCTCCTCAGTCACAAATACCTATATGATGATATTCATGCCAGTCCATCTGCATCACACCTTTATCCCCAGGAGATTGTATCACACATTGCTGGTAATGTATGTGTGTAATGCTGCCAAGCTCTGTGATCCAGGGCTTTGGGGCTCCACCCCAGCCCCTACCATGCAGGAATGGTTCTCTAGACTCCATAAAATAGGGATTGAAGACCGGATCACTAGATCACACAATAACCCTTCAATAATTACAAAGATCTGGTACTGCTTGCTTTACTTGCAAACGGCCACATCATATTTTTGATTAATGGGATAATCCTTACCTGGGCACATATCTTGGTCCCAATGGTAACAGTACCCACCTGATTCTCTATGATGGCAGGAGTAAGGAGAGGGGCGGTTGTGGCGAGGTACAGATACCTATACCACACTGGGGCATCCCTCCCATAACCTCCCCTCTCCTTTCTCCCACTCTTTAATTGGTGCCCAGCTATAGCCAGTAACAGTAATTCCAACAGCGGAGATGGCTCCCGGCTGTCAGAACACGACGCCACAGTAGGGGCGTCCCTAATCCACATGGAATGTGTGGATGGGGAAAAAAAATTGTGCATTTTCCTTTCTTTCCTTCAACCAGTGGGTTGAACACAAAATTTATAATGTATAAGCCAACCTCTGTATAGGAGCAGTTAGCAAGTTATGCATCTCAAAGATATTCTGTTAATAAACGCTGCCCTGTAACAGTTTATACCTTTGACAAGGGAATAAGGAAATCCAACTTGTAAGAAAGAATTACTCTGGTCAGCAACACCACAAAGACTACGTAGGCAGAGTTTTCAAAGTCTGTTAACTGGACCTAAAGAAGACAAAGAACTTATATTGATAGTGAAAAACATGTTCAGATTATACAAGCTTACCATTCTACTTCTATTTCACACAAAGCACACTAATCCTATGGTTTCACTGAGCTGACAGTTTCATTTTTTATTTTAGGCTTAAAATACCACACTAAAAACGCAGTTCTGGCTGTCATTTCCAAACTGTTCTATTGACTATTGGATCTCTAAATACAAACCTGTCAAGTGATTTCGTAAATAGATATACTGTAATACAGAACACACCTCCATAGGCCGAAACTCCACTCGCCAACCTATATCAGAGTTAGGTGGAGGAGGCTTAAACCTCATTGTCTGCCAGTTAGTTGACTGGATATTCTGAGAAGGAAAAAATATATTTGGTAAGCATTGATCAGTTGAGAAAGCAGAAAAGATGCAAGAATACAGTATTCGCTCGCTGTTCGAGATCATGTAATCAAATGCTACCAAAGAGTGCCTGGATTGCATTCAATTTACAGAAAGTTAACCTACTCTTTTCATAGGTAAGTGTTAAAAAAAAAAAAACATTGCATGAAGATTGCCATTAACCTCTTGCCAACCGCAGATAGCCGAATGATGGCTGCACTGTGGCCAGCCAGTTCTGGGTGGACGTCATATGACGTCCTCCCAGAACGCGCTCTCCTGCATGCCCCCGGCGATCTCTGTGATCGCCGTGTCCTAAGGACACAGCTGATCACGGGATATGGTAAAAGGCCAATCACAGCAGACTTTTACCACATGATCAGCCGTGTCCAATGACACACTGATCACTGGGAAATGCAATTGCCAGTTATCGGCTGCACTTTCCTCACGTTGTCACAGCGTGAGGAAAGTACTACCGAGAACTGGTAGTTGTCAGAGGAGGTATCGGCACTGATGATCAGTGCCCGCCAGTGCCGCCTCCCCCGTGCCCATCAGTGCCACCTCCCCGTACCCATCAGTGCCACCTATCAGTGCAGCCTCATCAACGCACATCAGTGAAGGAGAAAAATGACCCATTAGCAAAAAATTTGAAAAAGGGTTACTAAAATTTTGCACTTTGTTTATAGCACATAAAATAAAAAAAACACCCAGCGGCAATTGAATACCACCAAAAGAAAGCTCTATTTGTGTGAAAAAAAATTATAAAAATTTCATATAGGTACAGTGTTGCATGACTGCGCAATTGTCATTCAAAGTGCGACAGCGCTGAAAGCTGAAAATTGGCCTGGTAAGGAAGGGGGTATAAGTGCCCGGTAGGCAAGTGGTTAAAAAAAAAAAACAATGTCTGAACAGAATATCCTGTTTCTATTGATTAGGATTATACACCTGAGTTGCTAATGCCTCTACCGCATTTCTCTGAAGTTTTCCAAGACTTCGTTGTGCATCAAGGGATGGAGAGAATGAAAACTGGTGACATATCTGAAGACCAGTGACTGGGAAGATAGTAGAAAGTGAGCTGTGTGATCAGTTTGGAAGAATGATGAGACCAGTATGCAACAGGCAGGACCAGACCTCTATAAACTGCAAACCAGCTAAAACGTCTTTATGCATTTCAGCTGAAAGTTTAGTGATACTCAAAGTTTATATTTGAAGATGCTCATTTTTACTACCCCGACTAACATGTTTTTACCTTAAAGCATGCCTTGCATTAAAAGGTAAGGTTTATCAATCAGTATCACCCCCTCAACCACACCCTTTTACTTATATTCGATTCATTGCTATGCCCATCTGCAGCTCTTCTCCCCTGGCACTTCCTAGTCTTAAAGGCTTTGCCTCCCACTGCTGTAAAAGCAGAGAGGAGGAGGTTTAGGTGAGTATAAACCTGCCATTTAAAATAAATAGCATTTACAAACCACTCTCTCCCTAAACCCCTGCCATTTTCCCCACCCCTACCCGAGACACATTTATATAAAAGCAACTTATACAATTTCAGCCCACCAACAAACCTCAAAGTGGTCCGATTCATTTGCATCATCCAAATGTATCTTCTCTTCAAACAATGTCAAAGGATCTCTGATGAAAAGATGTGCAATGTGTTGGGCCAAGAGGGGGTCAATTCCTAAATCACAGAAGAGTAACAAGACAATTTTTTCTAAAGAAAACAATGCACAGCAAAAAAGGGGTGGACAGGAAGACAGATCCCCTTAACTTTCAAATTATCCTGATAACTGCAGAATGAACCAAACATCATTGAAGAATACCAATCACGGTTGTGCTTGCACACAAATTCAAAACAGAAGGCTTAAGCTGGCCATAGATTAAACAAATTCCTCCATCCATGTAAACCTATGCATTGCAGCAATTCCACGCAGCAAGAAAAAGCAAGTGTGAGTGTGTGTGACAGTGTAGTCTGTTTTGCATCCAGATGTGATATTACATACCTATGGCCATGGAGTCTCAGCTTGCCATCAATTCATACAGGCTGCTGCCTGCAGATCTATGCAAACTCCCGGGTGCAGAAATGCAGTCTGTGTGTGAGTGAGCCCCTGGGGTTCATTCACTTTGCCGTTATGGCCCGTACAGCATAAATCAGCGGTTTATGGGGCTGGAGCTAGAGAGTTATGGGGATGCAGCAGCTGTACAAAAAAACAACAGTCACATGTGCCAATTTGACAGGCGTGCAGGTGCATGGTTTCAGTTGCAGACAGTGCTTTCAGGGCCACTCTGCTGCCCACCTGTCAGATTGGGACTTTTTTTTTACAATTTAATTTTTGCCCTGTTGGGGGACTTTGGTGAAATATCAGGGGTTCAAATACATTTTAGACAAATAGCTGTGATTAGCAGCTAACAAGCTATCACAAAGCAATTCTTTTATTCGGCAGAGTCTGCTGGACAGTTCTGCTACAAGTTCATGGTCACTTTCCCTTACAGCAGAAAGGGGAATGGAAGAAAAACATGGCATACTGACCAGGCCAGCTGGAAGCAATTCTGTGCAGCCATATGTCATTTGTCACAAGCAGCGAAAGGTGTTAAAGTAGAATTTAGCCCACGAATACATTTCATCTGAAGGCAAGCACCTACTCCATCCAGGAAATCACCTGAAATCTGGCAGTATGGAGTTGCCACAAACCAAAGTGCAGATACACATGCAGTGGAAGGACATAAGCAGCACTTAAGGCCAATGAAAGCATGAAGTAATAAGATATGGAATAGGAGAGACAGAAATGCTGCAGTGACAGCAGAAGTGTAGCATTTTCGAGGGGGTCATAAAGTACCCTACAGTAGGTGCACAATTCTCACTGGTAAAAAAAACAGTTCATATGTACTGCATTTTTTTTTTATCAATTTTGTATTAGTGGTTTGCCTAGGATGGTCAGAAGAAAAAAAAAAAAAAAAAAAAAAAAAAAAGTGTTCTCACAAAGCAGGTGAGAAAACTAGCAAGAAAATGGACTCGCATGTATAACCATTTCCGCATTCATACAATGGAACAAAGTACATTACTATTATAACTCTTCAGTGAATATGCCTAAATAAATAAAAAGGGAGGAGTGACAGTGACAATATTTCTACAGGGCTACAAGAACAAATAGCATAAGCAGATAAGACCGAGCTGGCATTGCGTGGAGAAGCACAACCATCTATTGCAATAAAGCTCGACTTACCCTCTTTTGTTAGTTGGCTACAGATTTCTTTATCTATAGTCAAATCAATGTCATTGTACTTTTCCCCACAGGTAGACAGATAGCTGTCTATAGAATCGTATCGAGATTTATTGATTCTGTATTTGTTATTCTTCAGAGGCTACAATGAAAAAAAAAAAAAAAAAAAAAAAAAAAGGTCACTTATACAGTCAAGATGCAAAAACACACACACACACACACACACACACACACAACTAAATCTACTGTATACCTTCTCGCCTCTTTCCTCTTTAGTTCGATCGTCTACAGAGGCAGAAATAACTTCCCACCGACAGTCAATGTCCGACACATATCCTCTGTAGAAAGGAGCAGCTGCACTCAGAGCCATCTAAGAGAAAGCAATATAGATTTGCCATCTATGTGTGCACACAGAATTTGTTAATGCATCAACTTCTGCCAATACAAAGCCAGTGAACAGACTGGGAAGGACTCCCAATATTCTTCAGTCAAGCTTTAAATTTTTATTTGCCCCACTAAAACCGGTCACAGTATAATTGTCCTTTGACTTTAGGGGTTGGTCAGACATACAGGCATGATCGAACACCACAATGGGAAGCTGTCAGCTCATGTATGTTACCTTTTGCTCAAGTGAAACCAACTGCACCAACCTGCCTATGCACAATATTAACAGTGCTTCGATGCACAGACATAAAAATTAGAATATTTTACTGTGTGTAAAATGCTTTACCTGGAATTTATCAAGGGACACAGGTTTCAGACAATTGGGTTATGTTGCAGTCTACATGAAGATTTGGCCAAAGAAAAACACACCAAACACTAGAACTTGGGACAATCTTCAGCTTAGAAACATGCCTGAAGGGCCTTCTACACAAAGCTGGCATACAGTGAGCTTTGAACATTAACCTCAAAAAACATGTTAACAAAAACCCTGGTGGAAGTCTTGCAAGTCTGGTGAAAGTATTGCTCGATGCTGGAATCTGAAGTTCTGCCTAGGTCAAAATCTCTTCCATCTCTTGTTGAAGAGAGACTTCATTCCTCCCTGATGGCGGATATACACCATCGCCCCAGTGTTGCTTGACTGGATCCTGATTGGGATGTAACGCATTGCAGGGACAACCAAGTCGCCTGGATTTCTAGAATGTTCCAGAAAGTAAACAAGGTGTTTAGGATTCCTCCCAAGCCTGTCTAGCTGGTATACTTTTGACAGGCAAATTGGTTTGTCTAGAAACTGGATTGATCAGTGCCAATATGATATGGAGTTTTATGGGTCTGGAGTGGTACTAGGCAAACCGGCTTGGCTTGAAGGAGGCTACCATCAACCCAATAACTCATACAGAAGCGAAAAGTCATACTGTACTGAAGAGACTAAAGGTTTTTTTGGGGGAGAAAAAAACAAACCCACACGACTTAAGCGTGTCTAAATTAAGACCCAGACACCCCAAGTGAGGAGTCCACTCTAATGTAGTCTTCTGAAGGATTAGGAACCAAAAAGAACCTTTTAAAAAGGTTTGAACTGTCTATGGCATATTGTCAGTAAGCACTTCAAGAGGTCACCTGATATCACACCATGGGGATGCTCTGGGAGGGTAACAAGACCAAGCAAAGGGGCCAAAACGTTTGTGAACATTCACAGTACAGAAGACAGGCGGAATAGCAAAGCCACAAACTGGAAGTACTGGGGACACAGAGTAAAGCAAAGGAATTACTGATGTGCTGAAAAACTGGGGACATCCACATATGCATTGTTGATGTCCACAGGGGAGCAGGCAAAAAGTCTCTAATGAGGGGAGGCTATACTTGGTGCTTTTCTTAAAGAATTTGAGTTTTGTTTCCCTAGTTTGAGGCTTAGGATCTTCATCCCCCCGACAACATCCTTTAAGAGTGTGTCCAAGGCAGCTCCTAAAAGATGATGTTCCCCAAAGGGCATGTGTAGCAATTGGTTTGGCATGCCTGCTTCACAGCAAAACGTTTCAGCCAAGCAGTCCTCTGCATTTTCACTGACAGGATACTCATATGGGAAATAAGACCGGAAATCTCTACCAACACATCCATGCAGTAGCTTAGGGCTGCCATTGTGAGCTCTAAATGCTCCACTAACAAGGAATCCGTGTGGAGGGATACAAAAGCCCTTTTGTGGCTCTAGTCCAGTTCCACAATATTTGATAGACTAGCATCTCAGCCAGGGTACATTGTAAAGCAGGGCCTACCAGAGAAACATTTATCACTGACATAGTTAAAGACTAGTGCATCCTCCACAAGAATCAGTGCTTTAACAAAACATGGGCCATTCTGTAGTGGATCTGCCAGTTTCCTGTCTTATCCTAAACTGGTATAGGGCTGTAGGACTGAAATATTTAGGTGGTGTGAACAATCAGGAGTCTGATTCTCGCAGTCACCATAAAAGGACATCTAGGACTTGTGGGTACGTCGGAGAGGTTTTGTTAATGTTAGGAATTCTAAGCGATTGTAGATTTAAAGCATCTACACTGCGCACTAGGAGCCAAACTTGTCTCTCTAGGCTTGGGAGTAATAGCCACTGCCCAAGACTCTTCAGGGGCAATATCTTAAGGATTTTTGAGACTGTCAACATCAACCGCTTACGCTTCACCACAAAAGCCCTAAAGCCAGAGAAAGATCTGATAAGGATTCTGCAGGAGAAGGCGTGGACGTATGGGTATAGCCCAGGGGTGGGCAACCTGCAGCTCTCCAGCTGTTGCAGGACTACAAGTTCCATCATGCCTCTGCAAGTCATAGCTGTAAACTGTCAGTTTTGCAATGTCTCGTGACCTGTAGAGTCATGCTTGTAAATTCCAGTCTTTGCAATGCCTCATGGGAAATGTAGTTCCACAACAGCTGAAGAGCCGCAGGTTGCCCACCCCTGTTATAGCCCATGCTGAAGTCAATCAAGGTTGCAAATCTGGTCCACAAAATCCTGCATAACTGTGGTGAGATCCTCCTGATAAGACGGAGGAGGGGGCCACATCTGACAGTTGAGTAGGACTCTGAAGTATAGGGACTCCAGTGGAGGCTGATGTTTCAGGCTCTCAGTGTTGGGCTCTTGAGAGGGTGAAGTGATGCAGGCAGCATTAGAACATTGTTAGTGGATTGTGAGCTGGAGTGACCCAGTACAGTAGGACTGCTCCCTGTTTGTCTGGGATCCGATACATCATTCTGCAAAAGAGAACAGGGTGAACCAGCATCTGATAGCAGGAGAGGTTCAGACAGCCAGAGGTCATGAGGTCACTGTAGGTGTGCAGCAAGGACCAACTGAACATGATCTGCGAGTCTTTGGACAAGAGTGCAGAGCGTGCATGTGCAACACTGTGCCTAGTGATCAGTGTGAGAGCAGAGAGAAGCAATCCTACAGCCTGTGTGTACAGCAGACTGCAGTGCCAGCCAGCGTCCCTGATCACTGACCCAGTGTGTAGGAACAATAAACAGTGCAGCCGATCCTTGTCACCTGTCTCAGTGCACACCACCATACCAGCGCCCTGATCACCACCATTAGAAATTTTGGAATCTTGTTTGACCGTCATACCAACATCCTTATCACCGCTATACCCCATACCAGCATCCTGATCATTGCTATATGTCATACCAGCGTCCAGCATTTTGGGGTATCAACTGATCAATTTTCAAATGTATATCCCATAGTTTTTAGACTATAGCATTCACTTAGACTAAATATACACTATTTTGGGTTATTTTTACCCCAACAATGTAGCAGAATACATTTTGGCCTAAATTAAGAAAAATTTGCTAGATTTTAGAACAAAAGCAAAGCAGAATTTTCAGTCTTTTTTCCGACTTATATAGACAAATAAAAAAGGGGAATGGAAAAAAAAAAAAAAAAAAAAAAAAAAAAAAAAAAAAGGTGGTGATCAAATACCACCAAAAAAAAAAGCTCTATTTGTATGGGGGAAAAAAGCCAGCATTTTCATATGGGTATAGTGTTGCATGACTAAGTAATTGTCACTCAGTGTGATCGTGCCAAAAGCTGAAAATTGGCCTGGACTGGAAGGGAGTGAACGTGTCTATACATGAAGTTGTTAATCACACACAAACACCTTACCACAAGTGGACATATAGTAGCCAGCTGGTCATACAGGTATCGTGCTTCTGCAATGCTACAAGCCTGAAAAGTGACCTAATACATGGAAAAAGCATACATAAGATTCAAGTAAATTAGGCAAATGCACAGGAGTCAGAGCATGTTTCAATAATTATATGTGCAAGTGCGATATTACATACCTGGAGGCAGCAGTTGCCCATCCCAAAACCCATAGCATCCATGTAAATGTGATCAGGTATTGCTGCTTTTGCATCATCACCAGTAGCATTTGGGAATTTTTCAATAAACGGAGAGGGGGGGTATTTTGGTCTTTAAAAACTGCACAGAACAAAATACGGAAGAGCTGTCAGATGTAATCAATACATAGCTTGTCTTTTTGTATATCACCAGAGCCACTCACTTGGAACATTAATGACCACTTTTTCTCCACGTCTGTGCCGAATATTTCTTGTCAAAGTACTGTAGGGAAGAGGAAAAAATAAATAAACCCATTACAGGAGGTATTACAGGCAAACCTCCAAAATGCTTCTAAAACAAAAAAACAAACAGGTGAACGTCATGTTATGCCATTGGAAACTTTTTCAGCTTGTTTTATAGAACATATTCAGGTCATTTTATATGAAGATTTCCATAGAAAAACTGCAACTTTACAAAAACTTTACATAGAGCCTAATATACAGAGGTTGTGACGCTAAAAAAATTAAGCTGGAAGCTGCCTCTAACTACAGAGTATTAGATTGTTAAAAATGCAGACAAAACACACCTAAATCGTGGATGTTTGTTAATCGCTTCATCTGGAAAGAACAGCGACTTAGACGCTCCCTTCTCCACTGGGGTGGGAGGAAATTCTGGAAGTGTAAATCCAGGACATCCTAATCTACAAATACAAAAATCATAGATGTTAGTAACATTTCAATACCACAATGAAATAAAATAAAAACAGATCTGCATTGGAGGGAAATATGGCAGCTGAAATTCCAGACTTTTTTGAAGGTGTAAAGTTTGATATGCAGATATCAAACGCATACGCCAATCACTTTATGACCACTGACAGAATAAGTGAAAAACATTGCTTATCTTGTTACAACTGCATCTGAAAGTCGGTGGGATATATTAGGCAACAAGTGAACATGTTCCTGAAGTTGACACGTTGAAAACATAAAAACTGGGCAACCATTTGCAAACTGAAAATTATAACAATGGTATAGATACTGGATTTTTTTTTTTTTTTTTTTTTTTTTTTTTTTAATACCAATAATGGTAGCAACCAGCAACTTCTAGTGGGACTGGGACAGTGTGGTGGCAATCTGACACTGGGTGGGAACGAATGGCCACTGACATCTCCAGTGACACGAATACAGTAATCAGTTCTAATAAATATCAGTCATTGTACTAATGACACTGGGCAGGAAGGGGTTACCATCTGGGGCAATCTAAGGATTAACTGTGTGCCGTTTTAATAGGGGTACTGTGTATTTTTTTTTTTTACTAGGGGATTGGCTGGTTCTTATTCCCCCCTTTGCAAGAAGATAAACACTGGCACATTCCCGCTGACAGGAGAGAGGTCAGCGCTTACATACACAGATCTCTCCTTTCACTTGCCAATCGCCAGGTCCAAGCCATGAAACACTGGCTGGGACCCAGTGATTGGCATGTAAGGGTGCCAACAACAGCTGGCCCTTACTTTGAAAAGCAGAATCTATAATATATACAGTGAATATAAAAAGTATTACACAGCCCTGTTAAAATGTCAGGTTTCTGTGATGTAAAAAAAAAAAAAAAAAAAAAAAAAAAAAAAAAAAAAAAAAACTAAAAATAATGTGGTTGCATAAGTGTGCACACCCTCATAGCTGGGGATGTAGCAATGTTCAGAATTAAGCAATCACATTCAAAATCATGTAAAAATAGCAGTCAGTACACACCTGCCATAATTTAAAGTGCCTCTGATTAACCCCAAATAAAGTTCAGCTGTTCTAGTAGGTCTTTCCTGACATTTTCTTAGTCGCATCCTACAGCAAAAGCCATGGTCTGCAGAGAGCTTCCAAAGCATCAGAGGGATCTCATTGTTAAAAGGTATCAGTCAGGAGAAGGGTACAAAAGAATTTCCAAGGCATTAGATATACCATGGAATACAGTGAAGACAGTCATCAAGTGAAGTAAATATGGTGCAACAGTGACATTACCAAGAACTGGACGTCACTCAAAAATTGATGAAAAGATAAGAAAACTGGTCTAGGAAGCTGTCGAGACCTACTGCAACATTAAAAAGGAGCTGCAGGAATATCTGGCAAGCACTGGCCGTGTGGTACATGTGACAACAATCTCCCGTATTCTTCATATGTCTGGACTATGGAGTATAGTGGCAAGACGGAAGCCTTTTCTTATGAAGAAAAACATCCAAGCTTAATTTTGCAAAAACAGTTCTGAAGTCTCCCAAAAGCATGTGGAAAAATGTATTATGGTCTGATGAAATCAAGGTTGAACTATTTGGCCATAATTACAAAAAATACGCTGGGCACAAAAACACTGCACATCACCAAAAGAATACCAAACCCACAGTGAAGCATGGCGGTGGCAGCATCATGCTTTGGGGCGGTTTTTCTTTTGCTGGAACTGGGGCCTTAGCCAAGGTAGAGGGAATTATGAACAGTTTCAAATACCAGTCAATATTGGCACAAAACCTTCAGGATTCTGCTAGAAAGCTGAACATCAAGAGAACTTAATCTTTCAGCATGACAACGTCCCAAAATATACATACAAATCAAAGGAATGGCATCACCAGAGGATTAAAGTTTTGGAATGGCCCAGCCAGAGCCCAGACCTGAATCCGATCAAAAATCTGTGGGGTGATCTGAAGAGGGCTGTGCACAGGAGATGTCCTCGCAATATGACAGATTGAGTGTTTTTGCAAGGAAGAGTGAACAAATATTGCCAAGTCAAGATGTGCCATGCTGATACTCATACCCAAAAAGACTGAGTGCTGTAATAAAATCAAAATGTGTTTCAACAAGTTTAAGGGTGTGCACACTTATGTAGCCATATTTTATTTTTTTTTGCTTCCCTCAACCTAAAGATTTCAGTTTGTTGTTCAACTGAGTTGTACAGTTCATAGGTTACATTAAGGTGGAAAAAGTTCTGAAATTAACTAAAACGTTCCTCCTGCGTGATCAGTGTATAATTAAGCGATCAACACTCTAATACCTTCCAAAAACTGTGCCAAACAATAATAGTCCAGAGCTATACCCTAAAAAAATACAATGCAAATATTAATACCTTAATTAGTGATATTCATACATGATAAATGATATAGAATATGAATACAATTCATGAATAAAATAAACATGCACAAAACAATTCTAAAGTGAGAAGATCCTATGGAGGATCTATTTAGTGCCAAATAATATATAGTGCCCAATACTGTGTTATAAGGTGTTCTCCAAAATCTCATAAAAGTGAAGAACCAATCAACACAAATCCCCAGGTTAAATCTCTCCCCGGGACATATAATCCAATAAACAACGAAAAAAAACCTCCAACTAGTGTTAAAAAAAACAAAAAAAAAAAAAAAAAAAAACAAAAACAAAAATCAGTGATACCCCAAATATGGGGGAATAATCTCCAAAAACAAAATGACCAGTGTTTAAGTACAAGCAATCAACAGTATATGACAAAAATATTCAGTGACAGGTCAAAAAAAAAAAAAAAAAAAAAAAAATCCCTAAATGTTCACAAAAAATCTTAGATTAATCGTGCTCCAAAACATCCATAAATATATTCCACGCAAGGCGATATGGTGAATGTGTATTCACACCAACTGTAAAAATCCTCAGCGGCTAGAATGCCCCCTCACCTCCTTACTATGACCCATTGAGCCAGCTCGCTTTTAGGATCACCCCAGGATCCTTCACAGGCAGTATCAGGTTACTGGATGGTATCCAACCGTAATCCCCCTATGTGGTGGCACTTACGCTCCTCCCCAGCTATAAGTATCTGCTATACTGCATACTCTCCCATCCGGACCATAGTTAGAAACAAAAGATCCTCCATAGTGTAATATGTTTTAATATTGTGTGTTCATTTCAATTAGATAAAAATGCCCACTCACTTTTAAGCAGCAGCAAAAACATGCCTTTAAACTTCATGCTATGGTGTACTGCATGGGTTTCAGGAATTGGGTGTGCTAAGATGGCGTCCACACCGGATGTACGTCACCGCGTATCGGAACTACGTAAGTGAGTGGGCATTTTACCATCCAGTAACCTGATACTGCCTGTAAAGGATCCTGGGGTGATCCTGAAAGCGAGCTGGCTCAGTGGCGTGAATACACATTCACCGTATCACCTTGCATGGAATATATTTATGGATGTTTTCGAGCACATTTCATCTACGATTTTTGGGACATTTAGGGATTTTTTTTTGGGATTTTTTTTGTTGACCTGTCACTGAATATTTTTGTCATACTGTTGATTGCTTGTATTTAAACACTGGTCACTTTGTTTTACGAGATTATTCCTCCATATTTGGGGAATCACTGATTTTTTTAAACTAGTGTGGAGTTTTTCATTTGTTTATTGGATTATATGTCCGGGGAGAGATTAACCTGGGGATTTGTGTTTGATTGGTTCTTCACTTTATGAGGTTTTGGAGAGGACCTTATAACAGTATTGGGCACTACATATTATTTGGCACTAAATAGATCCGCATAGGATCTGATCACTTTAGAATAGTTTTTTGCATGTTTATTTTATTATATTCATATTTTATATTTATCATGTATTAATATCACTGATTAAGGTATTAATATTTACATGGTATTTTCATGGTATAATGCTGCACTATTGTTTGGAAAAGTTCTGAAATTATTTCTTTGTCTCATTGTTTACATCACAGAAACCTGGCATTTTAACAGGGGTGTGTAGACTTTTTATATCCACTGACACACACACACACACACACACACACACACACACACACACACACCACCCCATGTGCGCAGATGGCCAGCATTGTAGCAGTAAAGCTAGTGTGCGGTAGGGAAGTGGTTAAATAGATACAGATACAGAATAGCATGTGTTGTAAAACATGTATCACAATTTTTAAACAGACTAATGCCCAGTTATGAAAACCCCATAGTCTTGCCCCCCCCATATGAGATCAATTACATGAAATACATATTAAAAAAAAAAAAAGTCCAATGACCATATGATCAGTAGATACCGTGGAAAAGAGGTGATGGTGCATATTGACTGGTTGTTTGGTAAAAGTGATGAGGCTTCCTGCCGACGTTTCCGCATATTGTCTTCCACAGTGTTAAATTCAGACATTGTACCTCCATAAGGCTGTCCTGGTGTCCCTTCAATCATGTAACTGCCATACTCTGGTCTCCAGAGTGTTGGGTGACTGTGCATAAGGAGAAAAAGCAAAGTAGGTAAAAATTAACTGCATTTCACACTACATATCAAAGAAATTAAATACTTAGGTTGGTTGAAATAAAACCCTTAACGGTTCTCATACCTTTATTAGAGCTACCACAATGTTAAAATGGGAACGGGACTTAACTTTCCAATATCTACCTGGCAGATCGCCATTAATTGACATAAACCCACCCTGTACTTTGCTCACTGGAAAGGATTTCAAGTTCACTAAAAATGTGCCACAACACTTCAGCAGATTGCTGGTGTAACTGTAGACTGATTCTACACCAACACAGATCCTTTGGTACTGCCTGTTGGTCAAATCATACGGGAATCCATTCTATATGTCCCCCATCTTTGGGGTGTCGGGGGGGGGGGGGGGGGATAGTCCCCCAATCTTTGGTTTTTTCAGTGGGGGGGGGGGGGGGATAGTTCCCCATCTTTGGTGTCAGGGGGGGGGGGGGGGGGGTAGTCCCCCATCTTTGGGGTGTCAGTGGGGGGGGGGGGGGGATAGTCCCCCAAATCTTTGGGTGTCAGGGGGGGGGGGGGGGGTAGTGCCCCATCGTTGGGGGTCAGGGGGGGGGGGGGGGATGTCCCCCATCGTTGGTTTCAGGGGGGGGGGGGGGGGGTTTTAGTGCCCCTCGTTGGTGTCAGGGGGGGGGGGGGGGGGGGGATAGGCCCCGTCTTTGGGGTTTTAGGTGGGGGGGGGGGGGATAGTGCCCCGCCCTTTTGGTTGTAGGGGGGGGGGGGGGGGGGGATGGGCCCCCCGTCTTTTGGTGTCGGTGGGGGGGGGGGGATTTTTTTTGCCCCGTGGGTTGGTGGGGTGGGGGGGGGGGGGGATAGTCCCCCCGTTTTGGGGTTTTTTTCCGGTGGGGGGGGGGGGGGTTATTTCCCCCGGGTCGTTGGTGTCAGGGGGGGGGGGGGGGGGATAGTGCCCCGTCTTTGGGGGGGAGGGGGTAGGGGGGGGGGGGGGGGTTAGTGCCCCGTCTTTGGGTTTTGCCCAGGTGGGGGGGGGGGGGGGGGATAGTCCCCCGTCGTTGGTGTCAGGGGGGGGGGGGGGGGTAGTCCCCCTTCTTTGGGTTTGTCGGGGGGGGGGGGGGGGGGATAGTCCCCCCTCGTTGGTTCGGGTGGGGGGGGGGGGGGTATTTCCCCCGCGTTGGTGTCGGGGGGGGGGGGGGGGGTTGGGTCCCCCTCGTTGGTGTCAGGGGGGGGGGGGGGATAGGGGGCCCCAAATCTTTGGGGTTTTTTCAGTGGGGGGGGGGGGGGAATAGTGCCCCATCTTTGGGGTTCAGTGGGGGGGGGGGGGGATTGTCCCCCAACGTTGGGGGTAAAGGGGGGGGGGGGGGGGATGTGGCCCCATCGTTGGTGTCCAGTGGTGGGGGGGGGGGATGTGCCCCATCGTTGGTGTCGTGGGGGGACGGGGGGGGGGGGGCTAGTGCCCCATCGTTGGGTGTCAGTGGGGGGTGGGGGGGGATAGGGGTGGATAGTGCCCCATCGTTTGGTTCGGTCAGTGGGGGAGGGGGGTGGGGATAGTGCCCACCTCGTTGGTAGTCAGTGGGGGGGGGGGGGGATAGTGCCCAATCGTTGGTGTCTGTGGGTGGGTGGGGGGTTAGTGCAACATCGTTGGTTGTTGTCAGTGGTGGGGGGGGGGGGGGGATAGTGCCCCATCCGTTGGTTGTCGCAGTGGGGGGGGGGGGGGGGGATAGTGCCCCATCGTAGGTTGTCAGTGGGTGTACTGGAACAGTGAAAGGACTGGGTGATAGATGTGCCCCATAGTTGGTGGTCAGTAGTGCCAACGGGTGGAGGGGATCAGTGCCCCATCGTTGAGTTCAGTGGGGTAGGGGGGGGTGGATAGTGCCCCCATCGTAGGTTTGTCAGTGAGTGTGGGGGGGGCTGGGGGGGATAGTTTGCCCCATCGTTGGTGTCAGTGGGGGGGGGGGGGATAGTGCCCATCGTTTGGTGTCAGTGGGGGGGGGGGGTGGGGGATAGCTGCACCATTCGTGGTGTGTCAGTGGGGTGGGGGGGGGGATAGTGCACCCTCAGCGTTTGGTGTCAGTGCGGGAGGGGGGGGGGATCGTTGCCCATCGTTGGCTGTCAGTGGGTGGGGGGGGGGGTGGATAGTGCCCCATCGTTAGTGTCAGTGGGGGGGGGGGGGGGGATATGCCCCATCGTTTGGTCGTCAGTGGGGGGTGGGGTGATAGCTAGTGTGCTCCCATCGTTGGTGTCAGTGGGGGTGGGGGGTGGGATAGTGCCCCCTCGTTGGTGTCAGTTGGGGGGGGGGGATTATATTGTGTGTGCCCCAGTCGTTGGTTTGTCATTGTGGGGGGTGGGGGGATAGTGCCCCATTCGTTGGATGTCAGAGGGGGGAGGGGGGGGGATAGTGCCCCATAGTTGGTTTCGGCAGTTGGGGTGGGGGGCGGGATAGTGGGGGTGGCAATCGTTGATGTCAGTGGGGGGGGGGGGGGATAGTGTTCCCCATTAATAGTGGTCCGTGGGGGAGGGGGGGGGGGTAGTGCCCATCGTTAGTGTAGTGGGGGGGGGGGGGATAGATGCCCATCGTTAGTGTCTAGTGGGGGGGGGGGGGGGATGGAGATCAGAGCCCCATCGTTTTGGTGTCAGGGGGGGGGGGGGGGATTGGGGATAGTGCCCCCCATCGGTGACACTTGTGTCAGTGGGGGGGGGGTGGAGATAGTCCCCATCGTTGGTGTCAGCTGTTATTGGGGGGGATTGTGCCCCATCGTTGGTGTCCAGTGGGGGGTGGGTGGGGGGGGGATAGTTGGCCCATCGTCCCCCATTTTCCTTCGGTGTCAGTGGGGGGGGGGGGATAGTTGCGAGCATCGTTGGTTGTCAAGTGGGTGGGGGGGGGATAGTGCACCATCGTTTTGGTGTCAGTGGGGGGGGGGGGGATAGTGCCACATCGTTTAGGTGTACTAGTGGGGGGGGGGGATTAGTGGGGGGGGGGAAATAGTGCCCCAATTCGATGTTGGTCAGTGCGAGGAATAATTGCCCCTATCATTGGGTAACAGTGACACGCAAACGATGGGGCACTATTCCTCGCCACTGTGATTGCTACCGCCTTGTTCCAGTATTGCTGACCCTGTTCAGTACAGGTGCTGCTGCAGCCAGCTTATGTAGTTGCAGCAGCAGCACCTAAGCACGGCACCACTTACCTGCATCTCCACTCGATTTTCGCGGGGTGCTCAGCCTCCGCCTCCTGCCTGTGATTGGCCGCCTTTCCTGAGCTACAGTTCTGGCGGAACAATCACAGTGGACGGAGTCGACGCCGAAACATACAGGAAGGGAAGGAGCAGCCGCGCTTCCTGGACTGGATGTCGTGGGACCGGGAGCAGGTAGAGAGCAGCAGCCCTGCCCACCACTGTACATTAGTTTCCCTTCTGTTGGAAGATTAAGGAAAGGGCTGTGGGGCGGCGGCGGCCACGCCCCTAAAAAGTGGTCAGATGCCTGTTACGGCGTAATAAGACGACGACCCCCCACTTTTGAGACGATTTACAAGGGGTAAAAAGTCGTCTTATACGCCGGAAAATACTCGGTATATGTAGGAAAAGCTAATGCCCGTATATTCATGGGTTTGGTATAACTTTTATTCTTATAGAAGCTCTATAGTAGGGGGATTCAATTTCTAGTCTCCTGAACGTAGATGTTACGCTGCTGTCCAAAGTCTTTGGTGTGGTTTGCAGATGCTTTGAGAAGGGGGACCACCAGGGCTACTACTATGTTCTTCAGGGCTTTCTTGCTATATGTAAAAATAGCTAGTCAAACTTGGTAAGAAATCTACAATAGTGTTTAGTGCCAGCATTGGGACCTCGTACATCTCTGTACTGTAATTTCGCCCTTTTTTTTTTACTTTCTACTGTACTCTTGGTTTGGGTTTGAAAATTTCAATAAAAAGACCAAAAAAAAAAAAACTTTTTTTTTTTTTTTTTTTTATTTCAAACTAAGCTACAGCCATAACCATTTTAGTTTAGTTTGATGGAGAAGGGAAAGAACCTCAGTCAGGTATTATTCATGGCCTCTGTGCTCATTAGGGAGATTTTTCCCCCTCCACATTCTGAGGACACAAATTGATCGGTATCTGTTCAAATAAAGGAGAAAGTGCAACAAAACACTTTCAGTAAAAAGGAGGAAGGTGTCGCAGCTAGCTAAAACAATTTATGCTGGCCATATTCATAAAGAAAGATTTTCGTTCACAAATTTTTGTTTTAAGAAAACTCGTTGATTTTCTAAAATTGCTAGTGGGGTCAAAAATCGATGTATGTTTTTGACTTCATTGACAGGAAATTCAAAGAGGCAGAAAGGGAAACTTCCCAATCTAACAAATTCAGACAGTGCATGTGGTTTTCATTTCAGAACATTCATTTTAAAATTGAGTGTTACAGTGTTACTAAACCCACAACAGTAAAATCAGTCTGTATATGCAGTAAAGCATGCTTGTTATACTCAATGCAGAGGATTAACCCCTTAGGTTCCACAGTGTGTGAAAAGGCTGTTTGATCCTGACTTCTCTGATCCTCCTTCCCGTGTCCTCCTCATCTCCTCATAAGACATATCGTGTGGAGTCACTCTGCACATGCTTAGTTTGAGGTGTATAGCTAGAGGTTTTTTCCTTCTTGGGAGATGGCATATGATTAGCACAGGGGAGCACAGTTCTGCATCCTCCTAGAGCAAAATGAAAACTCCTCCTGCAAGCTTTGACCAGTGCCTGATAGAGCAGTCTTGTGACTTCTATCAGTCACTTCTAACTGCTGATGAGAAAAGGTATTTAGCAGTTTATATTTACTAAAATAATTGCACTTTCATGTTGTGTACTGTGGGAGACCAGATATAGTGAATGCAGGGTCCTGGGTTTAGTAACACTTTAAAAGCAAAAGACAATTTTCAAACAACATTCGCTCATTCATCGAAGGTGCAAAGATAGTCCAAAAAATCTATATGAGCATGGCCCGCATTACTCTTCCCCAGTCTATA